AGGTGAGGTGAGGGCGCAGCGGTGGAGGTGAGGTGAGGGCGCAGCGGTGGAGGTGAGGTGAGGGCGCAGTGGAGGTGAGGTGAGGGCGCAGCGGTGGAGGTGAGGTGAGGGCGCAGCGGTGGAGGTGAGGTGAGGGCGCAGCGGTGGAGGTGAGGTGAGGGCGCAGCGGTGGAGGTGAGGTGAGGGCGCAGCGGTGGAGGTGAGGTGAGGGCGCAGCGGTGGAGGTGAGGTGAGGGCGCAGCGGTGGAGGTGGGGTGAGGGCGCAGTGGAGGTGAGGTGAGGGCGCAGTGGAGGTGAGGTGAGGGCGCAGTGGAGGTGAGGTGAGGGCGCAGCGGTGGAGGTGAGGTGAGGGCGCAGAGCTGGAGGTGAGGTGAGGGCGCAGCGGTGGAGGTGAGGTGAGGGCGCAGCGGTGGAGGTGAGGTGAGGGCGCAGCGGTGGAGGTGAGGTGAGGGCGCAGCGGTGGAGGTGAGGTGAGGGCGCAGTGGAGGTGAGGTGAGGGCGCAGCGGTGGAGGTGAGGTGAGGGCGCAGCGGTGGAGGTGAGGTGAGGGCGCAGTGGAGGTGAGGTGAGGGCGCAGCGGTGGAGGTGAGGTGAGGGCGCAGCGGTGGAGGTGAGGTGAGGGCGCAGCGGTGGAGGTGAGGTGAGGGCGCAGTGGAGGTGAGGTGAGGGCGCAGCGGTGGAGGTGAGGTGAGGGCGCAGCGGTGGAGGTGAGGTGAGGGCGCAGTGGAGGTGGGGTGAGGGCGCAGCGGTGGAGGTGGGGTGAGGGCGCAGCGGTGGAGGTGAGGTGAGGGCGCAGCGGTGGAGGTGAGGTGAGGGCGCGGTGGAGGTGAGGTGAGGGCGCAGAGGTGGAGGTGAGGTGAGGGCGCAGTGGAGGTGGGGTGAGGGCGCAGAGGTGGAGGTGAGGTGAGAGCGCAGCGGTGGAGGTGAGGTGAGGGCGCAGCGGTGGAGGTGAGGTGAGGGCGCAGCGGTGGAGGTGAGGTGAGGGCGCAGCGGTGGAGGTGAGGTGAGGGCGCAGTGGAGGTGAGGTGAGGGCGCAGCGGTGGAGGTGGGGTGAGGGCGCAGTGGAGGTGAGGTGAGGGCGCAGCGGTGGAGGTGAGGTGAGGGCGCAGCGGTGGAGGTGAGGTGAGGGCGCAGTGGAGGTGAGGTGAGGGCGCAGCGGTGGAGGTGAGGTGAGGGCGCAGCGGTGGAGGTGAGGTGAGGGCGCAGTGGAGGTGAGGTGAGGGCGCAGCGGTGGAGGTGGGGTGAGGGCGCAGCGGTGGAGGTGAGGTGAGGGCGCAGCGGTGGAGGTGAGGTGAGGGCGCAGCGGTGGAGGTGAGGTGAGGGCGCAGCGGTGGAGGTGAGGTGAGGGCGCAGCGGTGGAGGTGAGGTGAGGGCGCAGCGGTGGAGGTGGGGTGAGGGCGCAGTGGAGGTGAGGTGAGGGCGCAGTGGAGGTGAGGTGAGGGCGCAGCGGTGGAGGTGAGGTGAGGGCGCAGCGGTGGAGGTGAGGTGAGGGCGCAGCGGTGGAGGTGAGGTGAGGGCGCAGCGGTGGAGGTGAGGTGAGGGCGCAGCGGTGGAGGTGAGGTGAGGGCGCAGCGGTGGAGGTGAGGTGAGGGCGCAGCGGTGGAGGTGAGGTGAGGGCGCAGCGGTGGAGGTGGGGTGAGGGCGCAGTGGAGGTGAGGTGAGGGCGCAGTGGAGGTGAGGTGAGGGCGCAGTGGAGGTGAGGTGAGGGCGCAGCGGTGGAGGTGAGGTGAGGGCGCAGAGCTGGAGGTGAGGTGAGGGCGCAGCGGTGGAGGTGAGGTGAGGGCGCAGCGGTGGAGGTGAGGTGAGGGCGCAGCGGTGGAGGTGAGGTGAGGGCGCAGCGGTGGAGGTGAGGTGAGGGCGCAGCGGTGGAGGTGAGGTGAGGGCGCAGCGGTGGAGGTGAGGTGAGGGCGCAGCGGTGGAGGTGAGGTGAGGGCGCAGCGGTGGAGGTGGGGTGAGGGCGCAGTGGAGGTGAGGTGAGGGCGCAGTGGAGGTGAGGTGAGGGCGCAGTGGAGGTGAGGTGAGGGCGCAGCGGTGGAGGTGAGGTGAGGGCGCAGAGCTGGAGGTGAGGTGAGGGCGCAGCGGTGGAGGTGAGGTGAGGGCGCAGCGGTGGAGGTGAGGTGAGGGCGCAGCGGTGGAGGTGAGGTGAGGGCGCAGCGGTGGAGGTGAGGTGAGGGCGCAGCGGTGGAGGTGAGGTGAGGGCGCAGCGGTGGAGGTGAGGTGAGGGCGCAGCGGTGGAGGTGAGGTGAGGGCGCAGCGGTGGAGGTGAGGTGAGGGCGCAGCGGTGGAGGTGAGGTGAGGGCGCAGCGGTGGAGGTGAGGTGAGGGCGCAGCGGTGGAGGTGGGGTGAGGGCGCAGCGGTGGAGGTGAGGTGAGGGCGCAGTGGAGGTGGGGTGAGGGCGCAGCGGTGGAGGTGAGGTGAGGGCGCAGAGGTGGAGGTGAGGTGAGGGCGCAGCGGTGGAGGTGAGGTGAGGGCGCAGTGGAGGTGGGGTGAGGGCGCAGTGGAGGTGAGGTGAGGGCGCAGTGGAGGTGGGGTGAGGGCGCAGTGGAGGTGGGGTGAGGGCGCAGTGGAGGTGAGGTGAGGGCGCAGTGGAGGTGAGGTGAGGGCGCAGCGGTGGAGGTGAGGTGAGGGCGCAGAGGTGGAGGTGAGGTGAGGGCGCAGCGGTGGAGGTGAGGTGAGGGCGCAGAGGTGGAGGTGGGGTGAGGGCGCAGCGGTGGAGGTGAGGTGAGGGCGCAGAGGTGGAGGTGGGGTGAGGGCGCAGCGGTGGAGGTGAGGTGAGGGCGCAGCGGTGGAGGTGAGGTGAGGGCGCAGCGGTGGAGGTGAGGTGAGGGCGCAGCGGTGGAGGTGGGGTGAGGGCGCAGCGGTGGAGGTGGGGTGAGGGCGCAGTGGAGGTGAGGTGAGGGCGCAGTGGAGGTGAGGTGAGGGCGCAGTGGAGGTGAGGTGAGGGCGCAGTGGAGGTGAGGTGAGGGCGCAGCGGTGGAGGTGGGGTGAGGGCGCAGCGGTGGAGGTGAGGTGAGGGCGCAGCGGTGGAGGTGGGGTGAGGGCGCAGTGGAGGTGAGGTGAGGGCGCAGTGGAGGTGAGGTGAGGGCGCAGCGGTGGAGGTGAGGTGAGGGCGCAGCGGTGGAGGTGAGGTGAGGGCGCAGCGGTGGAGGTGAGGTGAGGGCGCAGTGGAGGTGAGGTGAGGGCGCAGCGGTGGAGGTGAGGTGAGGGCGCAGCGGTGGAGGTGAGGTGAGGGCGCAGCGGTGGAGGTGAGGTGAGGGCGCAGCGGTGGAGGTGAGGTGAGGGCGCAGTGGAGGTGAGGTGAGGGCGCAGAGGTGGAGGTGAGGTGAGGGCGCAGCGGTGGAGGTGAGGTGAGGGCGCAGCGGTGGAGGAGGGGTGAGGGCGCAGCGGTGGAGGTGGGGTGAGGGCGCAGCGGTGGAGGTGAGGTGAGGGCGCAGCGGTGGAGGTGAGGTGAGGGCGCAGCGGTGGAGGAGGGGTGAGGGCGCAGCGGTGGAGGTGAGGTGAGGGCGCAGCGGTGGAGGTGAGGTGAGGGCGCAGCGGTGGAGGTGAGGTGAGGGCGCAGCGGTGGAGGTGAGGTGAGGGCGCAGCGGTGGAGGTGAGGTGAGGGCGCAGCGGTGGAGGTGAGGTGAGGGCGCAGTGGAGGTGAGGTGAGGGCGCAGAGGTGGAGGTGAGGTGAGGGCGCAGCGGTGGAGGTGAGGTGAGGGCGCAGCGGTGGAGGTGGGGTGAGGGCGCAGCGGTGGAGGTGAGGTGAGGGCGCAGTGGAGGTGAGGTGAGGGCGCAGCGGTGGAGGTGAGGTGAGGGCGCAGTGGAGGTGAGGTGAGGGCGCAGAGGTGGAGGTGAGGTGAGGGCGCAGCGGTGGAGGTGAGGTGAGGGCGCAGAGGTGGAGGTGAGGTGAGGGCGCAGCGGTGGAGGTGGGGTGAGGGCGCAGCGGTGGAGGTGGGGGTGGGGTGGGGTGAGGGCGCAGCGGTGGAGGTGGGGGTGGGGTGGGGTGAGGGCGCAGCGGTGGAGGTGGGGGTGGGGTGGGGTGAGGGCGCAGCGGTGGAGGTGGGGGTGGAGGAGGGGTGAGGGCGCAGAGGTGGAGGTGGGGGTGGGGTGGGGTGAGGGCGCAGTGGAGGAGGAGGATCCTGTGCTGCTCCCTCCCAACAGCCTGCATAGGTCCACCATGGACACCGGCCAGGCCCTCAGAGAAGCCCCTGTGGCCCCTGTTGTCAAGTAACTAACTGACCTAAGTTTTCTACAGCAAAATAGTGGTTCTAAGAATTTCTTTGAAAAGGAGCGACTCCCTGAACAGAGTTGATGTGCAGATGGTTTGTTGTGTTCTATAGTTTCAAGCAATTTCTCTTAAAAACCCTTACTGGTACTTCTTTTGCTAAGCTTTAGGGTGCTGGCTGGCAAAGGTCAGCTTGGGGAGGTGGGTGGCTGTGCAGTGCATGCAGTGGGTTGCTGAAGTTTCTCAGTCCTGGGGAATTGAGGGTTCCCAGTTTGATGAGAGGTCCCCTCAGGAACTAAATCATTGCATTAAAATTAAAGGCAATTTCCTCCATAGAAATTTGGTTTATGTTTATGCCGGGCACTGGTGGCTCACGCCTGTCATTTGGCTACTCAGGAGGCCAAGATCTGAGGATCGCAGTTGAAAGCCAGCCGCGGCAGGAAAGTCCCTGATACCCTTACCTCCAGTTAACTACCAAAATTGCCAGAAGTGGAGCTGTGGCTCAAGTAGTAGAACAGTAGCCTTGAAGCGGTGGTAATGTGAGGCTGTTCAGGACAGCACTCTGGCCCAGTGTTCAAGCCCCAGGACTGGCACAAAAAAATAATAAAATAAAAATTGTTTATTATCCTTTAAAAAGCTGAACTGTTTTGAATTTTATTATTGCTACCTCTGACAACTCAAATTTACATGGAAAATAACCCAAAGTTTTGCCCTCACCTGAGAAGAGTTATGGAGTGCGATAAGAAGCTTGCTCATAACCCGAAGGAAGGAACATCACAATTTTTTCATTGCAGATCGCCTTTGTTTTGCCATTCTCTACAGCAGACCAAAGAGTGCCGCAAGCGAACATTATTTCAGCATAGATAATGAACTTGAATATGAGAAGTAAGTACTGCTTTTTAGCAGATGTAGCTTTTGTTTTTCTTTTGAAGAATCTAAGGGTATATTTGTAAAGCAGCTTCCGGAAAATTACAAATCTTTTGATTGCTCTTATCATTTGGGCCGCTGCTGGAGGATTTTTTTCTTTTTAACCATTGGTATAAGACAGAGTTTTAGAGCCAAGGTGCTGGTGGCTCACATCTGTCACCCTAGCTACTTAGGAGTCAGAGGTCTGAGGATGGTGGTTCAAAGCCAGTCAGGACAGGAAAGTCCAATTAACCAACAAAAGCCTGTAGTAGTGGTGTGGCTCAGATGGTAGAGTGCCAGCCTTGAGCAAAAAGCTAAAGAGACAGCCACTTGGGCGCTGAGTCCAAGTACTGGCACCAAAATAAAGCAGATCTTGGGGGTGGGGGTGGGGAGAACCTTTCTGCATTTAAGCATTTAACATTTGATATTCCAGTCATGTGCATTTCAGTGCTTCAGTGAGGTCTATTAAGGTGTGCACAGTACATGTGTCAATATGGAAGTTGTTAGGTTTGGACTGTGGACTTCCTGTGATTCTGGGTTGGACCCCAGAGACTCCTACTTTGTAGTTGAACTTAACTACCACTTACTTACTACCACTCAGTTGTTAACGATTTAACTAGGTATCCCTTATCAGAGTGTACCTTCTGTTATTAGGGCTGTGCTTTTGAATGGTGTGGTTTGTATCAATTTAGTATGGTATATTCTTTCTTCTTATAGTTTGATCTTAGAGATCCCCAAATGACTTTTCTGTTCAGAGCACCTAGAACATACATGTTTTTATTTTTCAAGTTTCTACAAATGACTTTTCTGTTCAGAGCACCTAGAACATACATGTTTTTATTTTTCAAGTTTCTACGCAGATTTTGGACCACTCAATCTGGCAATGGTTTACAGATACTGTTGCAAGTTAAATAAGAAGCTCAAGGTAAACTCTTTTTACTTAAGAGATTTGACTTAAATAATCATTGTTCACTTAATCTTGGTGGTGGGAGTAAAGGAGACCTATCTTCCTTTAAAAGACTTTGAAAAGTGAAAAAGAAATTGAAAGTATTTTTTCCCCTTAAAATAGAAAAGTACAGCTGGGTGTCAGAGGCTCACAGCTGGGTGCCAGTGGTTCATGCCTGCAATCTTCACTACTTAGGAGCTTGAGAGCTGAGGGTTGTGGTCTTGGCAGGCAAAGCCCAGACAAATCTGAGAGACTCTGCTCTCCAATTAACCAGCAAAAGCAAAACAAAGCAAAACCAAAACTAAAACAGGGAGTGAAGCCTGTGGCTCAAGTAAGCGGTAAAGCACCAACTGTGAATAAAAAAGCGAAGCAAGAGGTTCTGGCCTTGAGCTCAAGCCCCAGTACTGGCACACAAACAGTTTCATAGGCTGGGGATGCATCTCAGTGATGTAGGCTCCCTCCCCTCACTCAGGATGCCGGGGCAGAAGTTTGAGGGCAGCCTGGACTTAGAGACCTTAAGACCATTACTCAAAAAGAAGAGAAAGGAATAAAAAGTTTGAACTAATGAGTGTTGGGGATGTTTTAAAAGCATCATCAAAGTTTCATTTTAAGTAACGTTTAAGATACGATTTTTTTTTTGTTGTTTTCAAGTCACAGTATATGTACTTTCTACAGCTATTTTTCCCCTTGATTTTTGTTTTGTTTTGTTTGATACTGGGTCTTGATATGTACCACTCCAACATGCTGTACAGCCTACGCTGGCCTTGAGGTTTTTAGGAGGGCTTACAGGTGTGCAGCATCACACCCAGCTTCTGTTGTCTAGAGTGTGGATAGAACTTTCCTCCCCGCCACCCTACGTTTGGGTTATCTGATTCTGGTTTGAATTGGTGATGCTCAAATCCTTACAAAATCAAAATGGAAACTGGTAAATTAAACAAGCCTTTTATTGTCTGACCTTACTGGGAGCTGAAACAAACAAGAGAAATTCTTCCCTGGTATGGTCATTATTCTTTCTGCCCCCATTCTGATAAAGGACTGTAAGGAAAATAGCAAGATTAAATAGGCTATGCTTTCTTCCTTGTCTCAAAATCCCCATATTATCGGACTACATGTGACTCTTCACTCTGACCCTCTACACATGGTTAAGAAGAGATGCTAGCAAGGGCTAGTAGCTTGTTGAATGTTGTATTACTTTGCTTCTTTTAAATCACTTGAATTATTGGTCAGACACAGTAAGAAGTATTTCTATACTGCTTGCTAGAAGTTCCAACTTAGTATAACTAGTTAAGTAGGAAATACTGTAGGAACTTAAGAAACAACTGATATTCAATGGGTTACCTACTAGACAACTAACCAAAAGAAATAAAAATTTATGAGTAAAGAAGAGCCCCCTCCCACAGCATCAAATTATATCAACTATAAATTGATACAGTGAGGCTGTTTCTTTTCCCTAAGCGGTCTTAAATAGGAATGTAAAGATTTATGGCCTTGTACATTTGAATCCCTCCCTCCCTCCCCTTTTTCCATTTGCCAGTAGCAGATCTTTTGTTTCCCACAGAGTTATTAGGAAGCTAAAAATAATCTTCCCAACTTTTGTTTCTGTACTTTAGTTTCCAGAGTTCCATATTGTATGTGTGTTGTCTGCTCTCATGCCTAGTTTGTTTTGGGCTTTTGTCCTTTGCATCAACCAAAACGGGTTTGAACCAACCCCTAAATAATTTAGTGGAACCACTGTAGTATGCTGACCCTCTAACGCAACTGGCACATTATCAGTTAACAGTGATGAAACAAAACGAAACTGAACAAAAAGAAAGTTCCGTGGAGAGTGTGTTCTGCTTATGCTACTAGATGGCTGATTGGGCTTTGTGTTTGTTTTGATGAACTTGGGTCTGTCCCTCTGCATAAAGCATGAAAGGAGCATATGTTTACATTCACCATGGGACACTAAAACATAGGCAGACAGCAGCCTTGCCTGTCCCAAGTTCCCAGCCTTTCCTGAGCTGATGGCTTCTCAGCATTAGTGAAGCTGTGCTCCATTAATGTTAAAACTTGTTTTTAAAATTTTAACTTTGTTGATTTTTTTTTCTGATGCTGGGGATAGAGCTCAAGGTTTATGCATGCTAGGCAAGTTCTGTACTACTGAGCTATACCCCAGCTATATGTATACAGAAATATGTCCAACCCAATGCTTGTAATCCTAGATGCTCAAGAGGCTGAGATCTACAGATCAAGGTTCAAAGCCAGCCTGATCAATAAAGTCCATGAGACTCTTATTTTCAATTAGCCACCAAGAAGCTGGACATGGAGCTGTGACCCAAATAGTAGAGAACTAACCTTGAGCACAAAAGCTCAGGGTTCAAGCTCTAGAACCAAAACAAAAAAAATAGAAAACAGCAACAAAATAAGTATGTCCAGAGCATGAACGAAGTTTTAGAGATTTGATCCCTGTGGGTAGTATCTCTTCTTAGCAGATCAAGAGAAACTTTATAACCCAAGAAGAGTTCACTGAAGGCTTTCTTCAGTTGCAGCCTCAGCCCACCACTGCCCTGGTCACCTGCTGTCTGGATTGCAAACCACAGGCTTTGTTGTGTTTTGAGAAGGTCCCATTTTGTATCTAGGGTTCCCTAGAACCACAGACCTTCCTGTAGCTGGGGTTGATTGTAGGTGTGAGCCACCGTGCCCTGCTTTCACATGGATTGTTTTTGCTTTGTTCTGTATAACTTTTTGATTTATTGGTTTCTAGAATAGATTTCTTTAAAAACCTAACAGTGGGAAAGGGAGCAGTTTCTCCCATCACTATTTTAGCCTCTTGTATTTTTTCCCGTTGGGTTTAGATGTTAGGGTACTTACTTAGTTTCCTATGTCATGAGTTGTGGATCATATTATGAGGGTGGCATCATTGCCCTTCAAAAACAGCACTATAGGGCATCCCTGGGGAAGGTCAGTATTTGGCCATAGTTAAATGCTCCACAGGCCTGTCTTTGAAGTGCCGCAGAGGTACGTAGCTTTGAGCATATACCTACTTATTACCTCTCTACTCTCTGCTCAATTCATTCTGATTCAGAATATCTTTTATAGGAAGGTTGCATGACATTTTGTAGAGTGTGTGTGTGTGTGTGTGTGTGTGTGTGTGTGTGTGTGTGTGTGTGTGTGGTGGGGAGTTCACCATGTTAATTTTCTCAGAGGTCTAGATAAGATGAATGCTGATGTGCTGTGAGATTTGGAATTTATAACCAATTTGTCACAAAGTAAAATTTTAGGAAATTAACAATTGAAAAGAAAATACACTAACCACTATTCATTTTTAATGCAGTCCATTACAATGATAAGGAAGAAAATTATTCATTTCACTGGCTCTGATCAGAGAAAACAAGCAAATGCTGCTTTCCTTATGGGCTGTTATATGGTAAGTACTTATTAACCTAGGTTCCTAGTGTATTGTGAAAAGATTTTTTTTGACCAACTACTTTGAAAGAGTTGCTGCAGTTTAGCCCTAAAGTTAGCAAATAGTGCCCCCCAAGCTACTTTTATTGGCTTAGAATTCATCCAGTGAATTGTAAAGTTAGGTTACTGTGGTTAGCACCAATGGTGATTCTTTTAAAAATAGTACATCCCGGGAGATAAGTGTGCTTTGTGATTTGGTAATCGGCAGGTTTTTTCCTCCCCTCTCTGTTTCAGGTCCTCTCTTACCAAAATGTCCAGCAAGGGTATGGTATGCCCCTTCTCTTTAGATGTTCTTTCTTCACGCTTCCAGCTTGCTGTGTCTGAAGGCTTTGCACTTGTTAAACAAATGTGCTTATATTAAACAAACTCTTCTGCACTATACCCGCTACCCCATTTCAAGCCTTCCCCTCCTTACAAAATTTTAATTTTAATTTTTTGTTATTATAAAGGTGATCTATAGAGGGCTTGCAGTTACGTTAGTCAGGTAATGAAGTGCATTCTTTTTCTGGACAGTGTCACTCTCCCTCACACCCAGTTTTCCCCTCCTGTCCCCACCCACAAGTTGTGGGTGACACAGTGAGTACCACTGCTACATACAATTATTTTCTAGTCTACAGTTTGATAAGCAGGAGTTTTATAAGAATAAATCGGTCAAAAATTGGCGGGAATAGTTGAAGTTACAACTGAACACTTGAATTTAATGTTTGAAATATCTCAGCAGCAGTGATGGTCTTTATTTTGGGTTCTTTTCCTGTTTGTGCTCAAGAAATAGGTCTAGACTGTAGTTCAGTGGTATAGCATTTGCCTAGCATGTATTTAACCCTGGGTTCAATCCCTAAACTGAAAAAAAAAAAAACCCCAAAACACCAAAATCAAAAAAATATCATAAAGTAGAGAAATGAGTCCAAGAAAACTTTTGTTTTGTCATCATCCCTGAAAGCGTAAAACACAGGTTGTTTATTATGTCTATTAAATTTTGATTTTTTTCTTTTTAATTGTGATTGCTTTGTTGTAATCTCTTGGTGTTTCTTATGTTGGCAGCAAAATCCTTCTAAAAAAGAAGTTTGTGCAGTATCCCAAGAAAGGAGGGAAAGGTGGATGCTTTCTTTGCTTTCAAGAAATGAGACTAAATGTCCCATTACTTGGCCACTCATCAGGGGGAGAAAACCTTGTGGATTAAACTAGATCATGGCACCTTTACAGTCATAGTTTTTGGGGTTGATAAAGCATTAAATGGAACCCTCAGGAATTGGTCCTTGGTGTGTTAACAAAAATGGCAAACAATCTTTGGTGGGTTTGTCTTTACCCTGGATGGTTGGAGCAGTTCTCAGACATTGGGTTCTGAGTCCATAAGTTCTGTGCGGCTGCTTCTGGATGGGTCACTTGTTACGGGTGTGAGAAGTCTTTCAGAGGGTGAAGCAGGGTGGAATTCAGGGTGAACAACGCCTCAAAAGGTTCTTTTCCAGGCCAGTAGGAAACAACACTCGGGCTTTATCAATTAGAAGTTATCCTTTTTTAATCTTACTGCTGTTTTTTTTTTTTTTTTTTTTACCGTGGTGAAGACAGAATCTAGAGCCTCATATATACTAAGTATATGCTTTACCTCTGAGCCACAACCCCCAGCCCATTGCTCTTGTTTTTTGCCTACAAGTGAGGAAAAATAAACTCTTGATGTATTTGCCAACAGTTGGTTGACATATCTGTTCCTAGTTTGGTATAACTTTGGTTTGTGGTTATGTTTTGATTCCAGAAGCTTTGGGTTTTTTTGTAGTTTATGTATTTGGATTGAGAAATCCTTGAGGATTTTAAATGTTCAGGTCAGGGACTGATTAGGAAAATGCCAGGGCAAGCTAGTTTGAATGTTGGTTCTTCTTTACTAGGACAAAAGAGGCTATGACTAGCCATGACTGACAGCTAAAAGATTTGGGATAGGGAAGTAGAGAAAGACTTCCAAGGAAAGAAAATTTATTAAGCTCATTAATAATAGAAAAGTGTTATAGATAAAGTGTAAATACTTCAAAAGATAAAACATCAAAGGAAGTGAGGGTTTGATCTGTTAGAAGTTGATTAAATCCTCTGATTAAAGACTACAGAGAGAAGCCTTAACAACTTAAGCTGACCTCACTGAGGAATTTTGGAGGTAGTAAAGGTTTTTAGTAATTGGTTTGATATGGTACTTATTAAAGCGAAAACAAAATCTGAAAGAAGAATCATGACAAAGAAAACATTGCAGGGTTGGGGTAGAGCCCTATGGTAGGGTGCTTGCCTACCCTGCCAGGGACCGGGTAAAATTCATGTGTGGGCATGATGTTATATGCACCAGAAAAAAACAAAAATATTTCAAATTGATTACTTTTTATCCTTTTAAATTCTGGGCTTTTGAAAGGAATTATGTTTCATTTATTCTTTGTGTGTGAAAGAATTTAATATGGGGTAGAGAGAGAATGTGAAAAAAATCCTTTGGGGCATAGAAATAAATCACCATCGTAACTATGCATTTCTGGTGGTACTCAGCGTGAGCTCAGGGCCATGTGCCTACCAAGGAGGTACTCTGCCTCACACACATGCCACCAGGCCCAGTCTTCACCAGTTATTTTTGAGGTAAATGTCCTTCCTGGGTATAGACAGAAACCTGCTGGTTTCAGGCCTCTCACCGTATCCAGCCACTTTTGTGGAGATAGAATCATTTGGACTTTTCTGCCTGGCCTGGCCTTGAGCTGCAACCTCCCATTCTCAGCTTCCTAAGTAGCCAGGATGATAAGCAGGAGCCATAGACACTGGTCGTTTCTCAAAAGTGTTTTAAAAGAAACTTCACAAAGTAGAGATCGTTCTTGTTCTCTTGTCATTCCTTGTCAGATGGGCAGGCTCTTCTGTGTTGTGAGAAGGGAGAGAAACAATTTGACTTTTCTTTTGTCTCCAGTGCATTTCAAAGTACTGTGATTTATATGATATTGCCTGGTAAATGCCTCTACCAGTTCAACCATCTGAACAGTGGAACTAAAACTGAAGACACTGAAAGAGCTGAAGGATGAGTTTTCCTTTTACAAAAAATAAGTGCCATTCTGTTTTAGGAACTAAGTTTGCTATCTGTCCCCTGACAGTCAGATTTTGATACTTGTCATTTCAAGGTAAAGGTGCAATTTCAAGTGAAAATAGGCTTTTCAAAAGAACTCATGATTTAAAAAGCATTTTGAACAATGCAAAATCTTGTTATGTCATTTTGTTCAAAAAAGCTGGAAGAGGGGCTGGGCTGTAAGAAGACGAGCCTTGAGCAAACGAAGCCCCAAGTTCAAGCCCCAGAAAGAAAGCTCCCAAAAAGAAAGGTCCTACACAGAACTTGTCTCTGTCCTTGAGAAATTCAGAAAAGGACTTTACATTGATAGCAACTGGACTTAATGTGATGTATACACATACTAGTTTTATGTTTACTAGTATTTTTCCCATTTTTTAAAGTCAATGACTATTCCTTTGGTATGCATTTTTTTTTTTTTATCTTGGTCCGGTCGTGGGGCCTGAACTCTGGGCCTGGGTGATGTCGCACAGCTCTTCAGCTCAAGGCTAGCGCTCTACCACTTGAGCCACAGCGCCACTTCCGGCTTTTTTCTTTTTGCTTATGTGGTGCTGAGGAATCAAACCCAGGGCCTCATACATGCAAGGCAAGTGCTCTACCACTGAGCCACCTTCCCAGCCCCTTAGTATGCATTTTTTATCTTCAGACCCAGATTATGTTCATATTTACCAAGTTGGTCCAAAGTGTCAAAATTACATAACCCAGGAACATCTGCATGTGGTTGTTGTGTATTTAATTTCTGTTAACTTTTTTTTTTTTTTTTTTTTTTAGTTAGTTGTGGAGCTTGAACTCAGGGTCTGGGCTTTATCCCTGAGCTTTTTCCGCTCAAGGCGACCTACCACTCTACCACCATAAGCCATAGCTCTACTTGAGGTTTTCTGGTGGTTAATTGGACATAAGAATCTCACAGACTTTTCTGCCCAGGCTGGTTTTGAACCTGGATCCTCAGATCTTAGCCTCCTGAGTAACTAGGATTACAGGTGTGAGCCACCAGTGCCTGGGTTCTGTTATCCTAAATCTCTTGTTTTCTTATAAAATATTTGTTTTGAATTTATTCATTGTTTTGTTAATTTTTTTGTCTTGATGACATTTAACTCTATGCAAGTATTCCATCCTTTGTATTTCTTGTAAACTGGAAATTATATTCACAAATTTGAATAGCAAATGCTGCATTGCCTCAGAAAACATATCATATTTAGATTCCCATTAATGATGTTGAAAGTGACCATTAGATTGGGTGTTAACCATCTAGTCCCTTCAGTGTATGATTTTCTTCCTATGACTTAAAGTATTAGGTAGGTGTTATTTTGATGCTGTTCACATGTTGTCTAGTTTCTCATTAACTGTTTCTCTAGGATCTGTTGTCTTTTTTGTTTTAAATCTGAGACAGGGTCTTGCTGTGTGGTAGACACTGCCTTCAGCTGGGGATCCTCTTGTTTCAGCCTCTCACATACTAGGACTGCAGGTGTACACCACCATGGCCAGCCTCATCTAATGTTTTAAAGAATTGTTGCCAATACCCAGGTGCTGCATAGTGATGTGCTCCCCAACAAGGAACACATTAATGCTAGTGGTCTTAGGAAAGATGCCTGCCTGGTGGTTAATCAGAGCAGGACTAGTTTGTGTAAGTACATTCTGTGATGCTTGCATTTCTCAGACTGTGTCCTCATTTCTAAGTGATACTTGGCTGTATTTGCCCCAATCAGTTTTATTAGGGTTTTGGCATAATGTTTTTCTAATAATTCCTTCCTTCCTTCCTTCCTTTTTCGGTACCGAGGCTTGAACTTGGTGGTGAGCCTGCTGGGCAGGCCCTCTGCTCTATGCCATCAACTCTCATCTGGTTTTCTTTGGTGGAGCAGAGCTTTTTTTTTTTTCCCCCCCATGCAGTTAAG